CCTTTTTGAGGTTCATTAGTTGAATAAAGCCTGAGAGACTCCTTTGAACATGTGTTGGGCTGTCTTATTTTGATTCTGGTGTGGTGGTGTGTGTTGACAAGCAAATTTAGATCTACAGTGAGGAAGTCAATCAATAGTCCAAGAGAAATTATCCAGCTAACCCATTTTGTATGAGTCTATGGTTTATCTACCCCTGAGTATAGAATAGAATAGAATAGAAGTTTATTCACATAAGTGGAAATAATACATGTTTTACAAATTTTTGCCTATGAAAATAAACAGAAACACCATTTAGTCCTTCACGAGGACTGTCTATGGATAAGATTTCTTTGATTATTTAATAGACTTCAATTTTGTGAGTGAGTATTAGACATATAATGGACTATAATTATATTATTTCTAATGACAAGAATATAGTTGAGGAAGTATATTATATTAGTTTAGATTATTAATCTAAGGTTAGTAGCACATTCAGAAATGGATAAATCGACTGAATAGAAAGTGTAGTAATAAAGTATCTAATATAATAGTATTCAAAGTAAGTAGGGTAAGTGTAAGTATGCATTTAATTGACTTTAACATAAAAAGTTTTGCATGATAGGATTGATTCATTCAACGACTGTATTGAAAGATGTTCTCTCTTGTTCGAGGATCCAGTCTTTCATATTTCTTTTGAAACCAAGTTTGGATTTTATATTTCTGATAGATTCAGGGAGGAGGTTATAGAATCTTGGAGCAGTATAGAAGAGAGACCGCTGCCCTAATGCTTTGTTTGCTTTAGGTAAGGAAACATTTTTCATCTTCATACTGCGCGTGTTATATGAGTGGTTCGGTTTGGTGAGGTAAGTTGATTTATTCGAGAATGTGAACATCAGAACCGATTTCACATAGATTTGTCTCACATCTAGTATTCTTAAATCTTTGTATAGTTTGTCAGATTGATATAATGCAGGTTTAAAAGTTATAATTTTGAGAATTCTTTTTTGCAGGATTTGTAGAGGTTCCAGTATGGTCTTTCGAACTCCCCCCCACCCAATTATTCCATAGCTTATGAGGGACTCAGCAATAGCAAAATAAATGATTTTAAGGTTTTTGAGAGGAAGTATATATCGACACTGATAGAATTTGTATAGTAGTGAACGCATCTTTTTTTTTAGGTTGTCAACGTGACCGTCCCATCTTAAGAACGAGTCGATTGTTATACCAAGGTATTTTGCTCTGGTTGCAATAGTAACATTCTGTCCATCAAAAACTATATAGTTGTAAGGCGATAGATTATTTTCATATGAGGTAAAGGGTAGGATATTGGTTTTAGTTACGTTCACAGTCAACAGATTTACTTTGAACCATTTACTTATTTTTTCCAGGTCTTGTTGGGCTTTTTCTTTTACTGCTGTCCATGAATCCGCCTCATATAATATAACTGTATCGTCAGCGAAGGAGACAATCACACCTTGGGTTTCCGAGGTAAGTAATGAGTTCAGATATATTATAAATAGCACAGGTCCAAGAACAGTTCCCTGTGGTACTCCACAGGAAACCGTTCTTGGACTACTCACTATATTATCTAACTTAACCATCTGTTGTCTATCACTCAGAAAACTCTTGAGGAGCTTTAATGGAATACCTCTTATGCCTATGTGTTCAAGTTTCTCCATCAAAATCTCGTGACTAACAGTATCAAATGCCTTTGCTAAATCGACAAAGACACCAAGGCATGCCTTCTTATTATCAACAGCTTTGTACAACAGCGAAGTTACATATGCTGAAGCATCTTGGGTACTCCGATTTTCTCTGAATCCGTACTGTCTATCAGAAATTATTTGATTTTGTTCAAGGTAATCCATAAGGCGACACTTTATTATTCTCTCAAATAATTTAGAAATAGCCGACGTTAGCGAAATTGGTCTGTAGTTTGACATGCTAGTTTTTATACCACTTTTATATATAGGTGTTATGAATGCTTTTTTGCAGGATTGAGGTACGATTCCTTTTGATATACATTTATTGAAGATATGGCATAGTGGTTCAGATATATATTCACCAATTAACTTAATCAATTCATTTCTGATTCCATCTGGACCAGGTGACTTATTGTTATTTAATTTCATTATTTCGGTTTTAATTTCTTCAAGCAAGGTAGGTCGTAAGTAAATGGAGTTCATTTGCTGATTATTTTCAACTTTATCATAATAAATAGGTATTTTTATCTTTGAAGATAGCTTAGGACCGATCTCTGAGAAGTAATCTGTCATACTATTAGCGATATCCTCTGGCTTAGTTATTTCTGTTCCATCTTCGAGAATAATTTTTTCAATTTTGCAATTTTCCTCTTTATAGTTGTTGGTGAAATCATTAACGACTTTCCACATATGCTTTGCAGATCCTATGTTTTTTTCAATCTCGTTTTTGAAGTAATCACTTTTTGCTTTTTTTATTAGTTTATTGAGTTTGTTTCGATAGTTAATATAGTTATTTCTAGCTTCAGCACTATTTGGTTGAGCTACGTGCATTCGATGGAGCCTATCGCGAGTTTTAATAGAAGTAACCAATCCATGGGTTATATTTTAGTGCAATGATTTGTGTCGCGTCATTTACAATCTTTTTTATTATGCCCAGAAATATTTCAAAAGCAATTTCTGGATCATCGATGTTTGTAATGTTATCCCAGTTTATTTGTTTAATCGCGTTTACTACTTCTGTTTCATTTGTTCTTCTGTAAGTTAGTTTGTTAATTTCGTAATTTCGAGTATTCTTATTACTATTTGTTATTGCAAAGGTCGGGTAGTGATCAGTTATTAGGGATTTAAGAATCAGTGAGTAGTTGTTCAATTCATGATTTTTATCTTTACCTCTCACAAACATATGGTCCAGACAAGACTTTGATGTTGCAGTTACTCTAGTTGGTTTGTTTATCAGAGATATAAAACCCTTTTCTTGCAAGATATTCAAGTACTCTTCCGATTCATTACTACTCTCGAGAATATTTATATTAAAATCTCCCATTATATAGATATAGTCGGGTTTGTTATAGTTCAGGTTATTTAGAAGTTCTTGCAGAGTTTCCGTAAATTCTGATGGATTTGTAGATGGGGACCTGTAGCTGCTGATCTGCATTTTGTTGAATTCAATATTCATGACTAGCGCATTGTTTGGCCCGATTTTGATATTAGAATATGATTGAAGTATTCCTTTTCTGAGATATACAGCAACTCCATCATTCTGGTTGATGCGGTTATCCGTATGAATCATATCGTAATTTGCAATATGATATAATTCCTTATTTTTTATTTCCCAGGTTTCCGACAATACAATGCAGCTGGGGGTAGTGTCCATCTGAGATAGGAGTATTTCCAGTTCATTAAAATTTTTGTGAATACTTTGATGTTCAGACAACATACTGAGAATTTACTTGAGTTTGGATCTTCGATATTTATCGTGTCATTTAATTCACTGATAGTTTCGAGCTCTTTTGTATAGAGAGTATAGAAAGGATCATTAGGTGAGATCTTTCCTTGTTTTCTGCATGGTAGGGATTTTCTTTCGAATCGCGTCAACTGAGTCATCATTCCCTTTTTTCTTCCAGCATCATTTCACATAATAGTAACAGGAAAAAACCCGTTAGATGACCTAAGGTGATAAGTGTTTTGTGCGAATCAAAATTATTCGAAACGGCATATTGATCAGAAATACAAAAGTTCAAGAGACTGAAGTTTCATCATCAAATTTGGATGATGTACTTCATCGAATGCCTTGGAAAAGTCGGTGTACACCGCGTATGTTGAGGCTACATGTATCATCAAATTGTGAATATCTATTACAAACGGAAAGAGATTAGTAATGGAACTCCGCATGAGAACCATGTTGATGAATCATTGTGATGTATGACTTGAAAACAAGTTATTTCGTTAAAATAGATTACCCAGAAGAAACAACAAAGAGATCGGCCTATTAGTTGATACTTATGATATTCACTTGCTCTTGAAAACTTTCACAATTTGAACCATTTTTAATCTCTTGGGACAAATACCATCCTTCAGCAATTCATTGAACAAGATACATAGCGGTTCACTCTCGACAGAATTGAATAAATATTCCGTTCGGCTTTGTTCCCTTTTTTATGTCTAGTTACTCCAGAACATCCATAACCTGATCGACCAAATAAAATTGAGGTTAAATGGATTCTTCATGATTCTTCCTTTACTGGGCATTTGGTGTTTTCACTTTCAAAAACATCACTGAGATATTGCGAGAATCCATTACATATGGCTTTTATTTCGAGTAAGATTGTTATGAACCAGATCCATCGACATAGATTTTTCCCATATATGACCAGAAAGCTTCTGGGTCGCTCTTCAGTCTATATACAGTTCGTAATCATTGTCGATACATATTTACAATTTTTTTCGCAATACAAAAATCTGAGAATAATACTCGGCATCCTGAGAATATATCCATTTTGTTTTTACACTTGATTTTTTCTCTCATTACACCTGATGTATTTCTGGGAAACTCTCAATCATAATCGATCATCATCAATCATGGAAGCGATAGTCGAAGTATCATCAAAGTTCATGCACCATTTTGAATGAAAATTTCAGAAACGAATATCAGCAGGCATATTTGAATCAACATTTGTGTAATTATTATATTTTTTTCTAAATAATCCTAATTAACCTGGCAATGCCGCAAAATAATAGCTACAATAAGATATGCTTCTGTAGACTAAAAAACGACAAATGAAAATATATATAAAATACAAGGTGTTCCATTTGAAACAATGCATAGTTATTGTAGCTGAGCGTTGGAAAAAATCTTGTAGATTGAAATAATTTCGATTTGTAGAACTCACGATGATTTACTATATCCCCAAAACGATTTTGTCTAACTCTTATTGCAATGGAGCGATAGATCATTTTCACACTAGATGGTCCCCCGGTAAACACTATTAATTCCATAAATAAAAATGTTACATTTGATTATGTATTCAGGTGACTTACCTTCAGGATGTGGTGATGTTACGGGACTGAAAGATGTTGTTGGGGGAATTGCAATAGGGTCAGATCGAGCATTCAAATTAGTTCGGAGACTTATATCTGGATCAGACAATTTCCTTCTCTGACCTTTACTAAAATCCTGGGAATCCAATATACTGCCTGAACTCCTTTTATAACGTGGTGGCATCTTATTATGAATGGTACTGAAAATATATTATTCATTGCTAACGGGTCTTTGACAATGATTGAAAGCCACGTGACAGATAACTATGCAACCAAGGATACATTCGTACCTCTTTAACGTAGGTGGAGAAGAGAAGCCGCATCAAAAATGATCACGTGGCACTCAATCATTGATGACGACCCATAAGGTAAAAGGTGTGCAATATATCGAGGTATATATAACATAATAATTCATACATTTGGAAATTATTATTATGATATTCCCCTTAGAGGGGCTCTAGAAACATCATCAGGAAGGTAGGAGTACAACGATCATCCTGTAACACGTATCCCAGATTGTTCTCCAATATCCCAACGATTCCTATATGTACCAGCCTATTTCCGAACACTCAATATATGTCGCGGTGACAAAAAACGTGAAACGTGGAATGTTCTGAAAACAATCGATGGAACAATTAGGGAGAGAGAGGTAGTGTTCTAAGAAGCTTCTAGAACAAAAAGAAGGGTACGGAAGATCATTCGAGAACGTTCGAGAAGCATAGCCTACAAAAGGATCTCATATATAACGACGGCCAGACAACTGCCATCAGTCAGTCAAGCAGCGAGTATTAGAGAGACAGTCATATACTGCGTGATATAATATGATAATAAGTTCGATATAAATTAGTTTTCCTATAGTTAAAATAAATCAGTCCGGAAATAAATAGTGTCGTGCTCGCTTCTGCACCCAAATAAGGTAACATTATGTATGAATTAGCACATCTGTTGAATGGCCCCAACGACAGTACTGGCACATGGGTACTGTTTTGAACTAGTGAGTGTGGCACCAGGCAAATGGCTCTTGTCTGAATTGAATCTAAAACCATCAGCGCATGTTTGGGTGCCGAGGCCCTTAGGTGAAAACATTATTCTAATAATAGTCGTATCTAGATCATGAGGAGCTGTTTAGGTGTGAAGTAGATTTTCGCACGGAACAAAAATCCGAGTTTTTGTGAAACAGCTTTTGCGATGGATCGGACATGATTTTCCCATGAAACAGTACTGCTGATGGAACTACCGAGCATAGATATAGTTGACTTGGTGGCATTGGTGGTTCCAGACATTGTTATATCAGGCATACTGTGTTCCGCCTTTATGGAGAAAACGCAGGATTGACTTTTGGTGGTATTGAATTCAACTAGGTTTTTGGTTCCCCAGGCTGTAATTTCAGCAATATCTACATTGACAGCGTTGACCTGCCTCCGTCGTAAGTTCTTAGTTTCCTGGTACGAAATAGGAATTTTGGAAAAGAACGCAGTCTGGAGAGTACTATCATCCACCACCACATGAAGCGATGAGTCCTTGGTGCCAAACCAGGTCGAATATCTAACGCTACAGCTATAGATTACAAATGATTTTCTAATGAAGCTTGCCATACATGAGTGACGCAGGCAAATAAATCTCCAGTTGATTTTCGGTGGCGAAAGCCATATTGTCTTTCATCATGTCTATCATTGTATATCAGGTTCTGTTTCCTATTTTGGGGATTGGTTGGACTACAGCTATTTTTTCTACTAGCGTGCGGAAAAATTCACTTTTTCGTACTCATTTCAGTGTTGAACGAGTCACTTTTCCGCAATGAGTGCGGAAAAAACTTTTTTTCGAAAAGTAAGTTCGTTAAGTTTCAAGGGAATATACTGAAATTAGAATATTCAAGATTTATATTTTTTATGATTGTAATTTACATAATGATATAAATGGGGAATTTTATTAGAATTCTGCTATAATTTTTAGAAAAAACTGCAGCTTCTGCAATTATTTTGCAGAATGCAACAAATTGCACGTTCAATATTAATATTGATAATAATTAATTTGCGAACTATGTATTCAATAATGAATGTTTCTTCATGTTAACACTTTATTTTCCGCACGCTAGTAGAAAAAATTGTGTACCTAACAAGTGCGGAAAGTTAAACTTTTCCGCACGCGATTGCAGATGGCCGAACGACGCGTAAGCGGTGTTCGGCCAGTTAAACTACTATTTCAGCAGAATGGAAAAATACTTGACTTGTACGAGATGGTAAATAACTTGTAGAAAATCGATGGTGCACACTTTTTGAGAATGATAGGTGGAGTTCCATCAGGACCGTTAGCCTTATTCGTTATGAGAAAAAGCAAAAGTATTCCCAAAACCTCCGGAAGTTTAAAGAAATACCAATACCTATTTCCTCTCCCTGTCCTCCCTAGGTACGCACGATGTTCTTCAAAGATTATCGGGATTCCCTTTCGTGCGCTCCAAGCGAAAAACAAAAAACTAGGTTATATGAAGGACCCACTGATTTATTCAAAATTTTTGTGAGAGAGATTCGAACAATTCGAATAAATCTGATACTGGTTCCAATAACCTGTATATTCAGGAACGTGTTCAAAATACGAATGAGCTGTTCTTCTACAACTCCGAACTGAAGATAAATATTGTTTCTCTGAGATTTTCTTTCATACTAAATTCTAATGCCAGATAGTATTGGTATTCTGTTCCGTTTACATAATATTGAGATGAGACCAAACCTCGAAAATGTACATTCGCTTAAGGTACCACTGTTTCGAAATGAGCCTCAGGAATACCTGGCGTCCTTCTCGAGTAACCAGCCTTGTCATGCCAAGCGAGGTTCCAGCGTGGTGGACTTGTTGTTTCTTACCTACCTAAAGAAACTAAAAACGACGACAGACATCTAGTCCACTCAACAAAAGGATTGTAGGGTGAGTGAACAGGAACCTAAATGATTTCTTCAGAAAGTCGTTTGAAGAGTTTAGAGAGTCAACATACTGAAATTCCTGACATCTTAACTATTTATATTCTTCAAGAAATGTTATAGAGAATTCAATTTCCTTCAAGAATGTATGTACATATGCGAAATTGTCTTCAACTGATCCATAGTTTAGAAAAAGCAGTTTTTGATATTCCTGAGCCACAAATATTGTTTGATACTGCTCTGTATTTATACTGATGTGTTGCCAGACTTGGAAAGAAGTTATTTCATGAAGAAGATGAACATAATTTCACTCGAGGAAATGAAAAAAAAAAAACATTTTATTATTATTGTTCTAACTCTAAATAACTTGATAATTTCAAACACTCTACTTTCTCTGGATGTACGTCTTCATCCTCTTTAGCCGTGAGGGTCCTGGCAAAGGTTATTCCTTCATGGCATCCTCATCCTCAGTGTTGGATAGCTCTTGCTGAACGGACGTCATCTCCATCGTCGTCGTCATCAACAGGCCCGCCATTGAGACATTTCCTTTGGCAAAAGAAGCATGCCGTACATATTTTCAACCTCACTCTTGAGGTGGTAGCTCATTCCCGAGTCACTGTTGAACTTATTCGTAGGTACACCGGAATGCTATTTAACTGCGCTTTCAGTTGGTGGGTGGAAGCTGATGTCAGACTTATTATGTGCCACTAACCTGACTGCCAGCCATCTCAATTAAATTCTTAAAAATTCCACCTTAATACTCCTGAACATTGCAGATGTTGTATCGAAGCCGGTAAATGAATGTGAAAACAGGATGTTCTCAAATCCATGTTGCTACATCTCTTGGTCGGACAATGTCATTGTTTTGATTTTTCCTCGTCCGGGTTTCAGCAGTACGATGTCTCATGTGGTAGGCGTTCGAGCAATCAAAAGAACAGCAAATTCCACATCTACACATTTCGACAAATATGGAAAGCAGGGTATTCCATTTGAAAAGAGACGGGAACACCCTGTAAAATTTTAAGGTCCGTGTCTCAAGGCGGCATTCAACTTCCGCACATCGTTTTTTTTTTAGATGAAAACTAACGTGGGCGTCTTCGATAAATAACCCAGTACATATATTCTTGAAGAAAATTCAATTATCTACAATTTTTTGGAGGATTGTTTTCTTGAGACAAATTGTTCAGACAATATGAAGGAATGTTTGATGGAAAATGTCAAATAATAATTTTTTATTGAGAATTATCCACTTTTCGGAGCGTACACGAAAACGGTTAGAGATTCGAATAGAGTATATGAAAAGGAAATTGTGGAGAATTTTATCAGCTCTCACTTGATAACAGGAAACTTTTTTCTAGGAGCCCCTTCCTCCTCGGGCTCCTAGACGTCAGGACTTTCAGTATGTTCTCTCTCCCTGCTCACGCACTTAACACCCACCTTTGGGTCGTTTATTGATTCGACTAATCACCGTAACACAGAAACGTTCTGGCACTTTGAGTGTACTGAGACCACCTCGTCAAACAAAGATGAAAAAAACAAGAAAGAGAAAGAGTGAAGCAAGTATCAGAGAAAGGCTCTTTCCATAGCAAGTCTGGAACCAAAAACAGCATCAGACAGACACATGGCCTATACCTTCTCGAAGCAAACTTGAATTATTCGATGACCCACTGAGAAAAGGCCTCAGTAGATCAGATGTCGGGTGGTAATACACTTTCCGATCAGGGCATGACACAGAAGGAAGCCATAAAGGGAAAAACACGAAAAGTTGAACAGAACGCCCCTTTAGCACACAGACGTTAACCGAATGAAAACTGGAGAGGAAGCCAACACCGCCCCAGCGAAACAAACTCGGAAAGGCCCCAGCTATGCAGACTCAAAGAGAATGATCGCACTAAGAGCTGAATTCAAACTCCTATTTCCACCCTCACAATTTGATGGTGGACTGCATCACTAACGAAACCTCAGACTGGTTGGATGCAAAAGCTTCCGGTCTGAGCAACAAGGCTGACCATATACGATAAATATAAAGCAATGAGGAGTAGGTTCAGGAATTTTCGTGAGTCAATCACCTAACTTATGTGAGCTCTCATTAGGCTCAACTGGGTTTCCCTGGTGTATTCAATTGTTGAATTGTTGCATTTGATAAACCAGACTATTAAGTGACATGTTAGTTAGGTTCTCATTAGACCAACAAAACATTCGCTCCTTAGGGATTTGGTTATTTATTCATTTCTTCCCGATTTCATAATGTTTATCTCGGTTTATCTTCACTAATATTTCATAATAAA